CATTCGGCATTCTCTTGTGAAGCGCAGTGCTTCGTTCGCTGCTGATGTCCCCCTTGGTTCTGCCGTGAACACGGTGAGGTGGTCGGTTCTTTTGATCCGTGATGCATCAACAAATATGTTCGAACGCATCGCAGATCTTACTTTTGGATTTGAATTCGGACTGTTCAGGCAGCATGTATTATACATAAGACTGCTCAAAAGCTTTGGGTTCCTTGACGGTTCAACTACCATGATCATACCATGATCAAGCTATAGGAAAAACATATGGTCCACGGTGTCCACGCCTTGGTGGGCACGTTGTAGAACTCCTGGTGGAGTTTGTCCTTCACAAAGCACGGGCGACCCATACATATGTAGGGTTTTTCAGGCGAGCTCTTTACATGGTGGGCAAGCAATCTACAAAACTCATGGATTACATAGCAATGATGGATCCCCACTCCAACAGTGTGCTTTCAATTTGCATGGTGCACGTTGGGACTCTGACTTCCGTTGCACACACCTTCACTTCAAGTCCAATCCGCAAAGCCCGAGGGGCCCGGGAGAAAGCGGCCCGCGCCTCGATGATGGAGCGCACCACCGCAAAGTCGTCCGACATGACACCTGTCTCGCCCGAGGGGGACGGCTGGTATACTGGTATCCTGGTGCATGTGGTTCGTTCATGGCAGGTTTCAGCTCTAGGTCTGCTGGCTTGTCCCACTAAGCGCAGTGCGAATCAACCTGGCGGGGAGCCCACACAGCCAAACATCACTATCGACACATCACTCCAAACACCTACTATCCCCCCAGCCAACGGAGCGTGCCACGACCCACGCAGACCTGTAGGCCCAACACGCTTCGCGCCAACGACGTGGTCGAACTCGCTCTGAGCCACATGACGCGGTCTCCGTGTTTCGACGCCGCGACCGGTCCGGCTGGACCGGCTGGACCGGTCCGCACCAGCCGGGTTTCGGAGATCAACAACTCGGTTTTGAGCTGAGGGGAACTTCCTGGAGATATGTGGAACTGAGACTTGTGGAACTACTTGGCAAGGCTGAGTCCAAGTAATGAGTCCAACCACTGTTGACGGGAATTCCCGCTGCTGTTTCTTCAAGGATGGCCATGGAGTCCAACGGCCCATCCAATGGCATCCATTCCAAAAGACGCACAGTGAATGAAGAGGAACACCTATGGTATGGACATACATAATACCTAGTTCCTGTCATCTATCATAGAATTGTTTGGTTTTGACATGTTTTGACTCTTGACCCACACCCATAGCATTGACATGGGGCTACAACAACTGCAGGAAACAACATATTTTTTGGGAAGACGCGTGTGGAACACAATTTCCTATAAAGGCAATCCTGTACTCAGTTTCTCAGTTTCTATTATAAATACTTGATATCTGGGATGACTACGCGCCAGAATCCAAGGTCCGCACCAGTCAGTGACCAACTGGTGGGTAGGGCTTTACCACTCTTTTTCCAATAAGGCTTTAACTATTGATGACTCTGCAAAGGCAAGGCAAATTAAGTGAGGAATTCTGCAAGCCTGTGAAGGACAAGGTGCAACATATACATGATTTGCCCGTGTGGGGGGTCATGTATTTTCGCACTTGGTGGCCATATATGCCATATGCCCTGAACTCAATGTTAAACTGAAGGAGCAGCATGTCTTTGGGATTGAGCTCAAACCCAAGTCAACTCCAGTAGTTTGCATCGCGATGAGTTTCATACAGTGTTCTTTGTCTGTTTCAACACAGTAGTTGACCTGAAGATCTGATTGATGATTTATATTGCACCCCAATCACAAAGGCATAGCATGTGTCCTGATCTTCGGCTGAGACCACAATGCCATAGGCGCCATGGCCTCAAGTAGTGGGCCGGAGGCTTGTGGTGTGATTTCGTTACATAGACTCCTGTACTTAAAAGTGGAAAAACACAACAACAACAACAACAACAACAACAACATCTACAACAAAGATGAACTTTCTTGGCGTATACATGTTTTTGTTGGATGCCCACGATATCCCGGGAGAGATAATATGACATCATCGAGTCAAGTGAGGAAGAGTCGGTGGTGCCTTCTGACTTGGAGCATTCCAGGAATCTTCAGGAGTTAGGACTCGGACACAGGACGCGAAAGTAAAAACAATCATTCACCTGCTCTGGTTGCAGCCATGCCAAGCTCAACACACACAGTTGCAAGCACCAACCTATGCCCGTAGGTGGTTATGCCAAGCTCAAGATCTGAACTCTTTTTGCTTGAAAAACATCACCGAGCCGACCTGGTGGACTGTGACTGGAAGGACTGTGGCTGGTGGTCTTGATATCAAAGTTCTCTTGACTGGATGGACTGTGTCACCTATAAATCCCTCACTGCAGCTCAGTCGCTCAAACCGCAAGAAAAACACTCAGCCGCGTTGCAAACACTATGAACTCCACTCATGTAGACGGTAAACTCTTGATTAATAGCCCCTCCAATTGGGGATCAAAAAAAAACCTCTTCATATAATATATATATATAGATATTTGAGGTTCAAATATGTTCAAATTGTAAAGAGCACAATTACAGCATATATGTAAAACTATGCAAACATGCAATAAACAGGAACCCAACCCTATCCCAAACCATTGGCCATCACGCTGTTCGCGCTGCGGCTTCCGTGACGCGTCCGTGCACGCATCCGAGTGCCCAGCTCATGGGCTCATCGATGTGGTACCGCTTGGGCACCTAGTGAGGGCACTGTGAGAGAACTGGTGTTCTGACTCAGAGACAATGGCCATAGCATAGCAGGCATGGCAGTAGAGTTGAAGTTTCAATGCGTTCTGTCTTCTTTAAACAAAGACAGAACAATAATACCCATAATACACAATGTTGATCTTCTTTGCAAATCTTGCTTGGGATCATTCTATAATTGGATGATTGAGTGTGCTAGTAAAAGCACATGAAACACAGAAACCTGACCCATCTGGGTCCGCAAATAGCTATAACTACCTCAGCAACTAGCATAGCGTCATCGCAACTAACTACCATCAACTATATAACATCTAATTAACTATACAGGACCTATAATCTAACACAAAACAAGGACCCTCTCCAACATGTTAAGGAAACATATCAACAAAGTACCGTAGTAGTATCATGTAGTAACCGCTGTCAACAAAGCTGTGCCGCCGTCGGGTGCATCGCCTCGAAGGTGGAGCCCTGGACGGTGGCCGTGGAGGTCTCCAGGTTTAGGCTATTCACCGGCATGACCTGTCGACCACTGGGAAGCGCTGAGGTAAGACGTGAAGCGCGGTCGGTCGGACGTGATTCGAGGTCAGGTGCAAACCCTCCAGGTCGGTGGGTAAGACATTGTAACAGTGGAAGACATACCTTGCCACAGTGAGCTGTGTGCTGGCACATCTCCGTTGCCAAAGCGCAACGTAGATCTATACATTGCAACGTCTGATGCCTCATGTGATCTATGCTGCAAGTGGTTCAAGATCTCTTCCCATGATCGCACACATGCAAATGCTGTTCTTTTTGTCTTGGATCCGACAAACCCAGGACCCAGGAAGCGCCTCCAGCAGGATCTGGGGCGCATCCAGCTCGACCTTGACACCACGGTGTATAGGTCCCTTAGGTGTCAAGTGCAGTTCCCTGCAGCTCCAAATGACTTCGAGTGCGTTCCGGGGTAGTAGGACAATATTTTTGCTAACTACTCTCCCCCAGCTATGTATTCACATGGCTGGGCTTGCTCTTCAAGCCTCAGCGTGCCTCTGATATCAGCCCGACCCAAGCGCGACATAATCAGGGATCCAGAATCCAGGCATTCCGTATGAGCTTTGGACCAAGTTGGTCACATCCTTTGGTGGTGCGAGAAATCCCTCTACAGTAACCATAAGAGTCCTCATCAGTATCGCCACCCAAGCCGGCACACCACCCAATTATCCACCAAAATGGTGTTGTATGACCTGTACTCTTCCAACTTCTTTGCCGATGAACAAGCATGAAGAACGTTTAAACACAAGTAAAAAAGCAGCCACATGCTAGGAAGGACCAATCTTTGTTAGCGTCTCTCTGCAAATTCTACACATGAGGTACGGCCAAAATTTATATATGTGCGGCTGTTGTATCTTCAGATTTGTGAGTCCCTTAGGGTTTGCAAGGGTTTGGAGATGTTTGGAGCATGCCCACATGTGAACGCGTATATAATCGCAAATATTAGAGGCACTTCAAATTAGAAAAGCCCAAAGTTGAATTAGCAGTCGATGAGGTCGACCAGGGGGAAATCCCTTCGGCGATGCTTTTGGATGCCACCAAGCTCTCCGTAAGTACTTTTACATCTTTTAAACAAGGCCTAATGTTCTCCCTGCCGAGCTTTCTCCAAGTTCCAGTTCCCCCGGCTCCGAGCTCTGCCCCGCCTCGCAACAGCTACAAGCGCTCGCCGAGTGTCGCAAGCGTCGCGGGCGTCTTTGAGCCGAAAAGGGTCGGCCCCCAAACTCCGTCAGCTGTGGCAAACGAAGCATCGCTGGAAGAGGAGCTGCAGCTTCGGGCTAAACATGTTAAACCTTTCTTGGACCAAGTGCGCATCTGCAAAGCAATCGTCAGGATCTTTGCTGCCGGCGTTTCCATGGAGGTCTGTGCAAACGAATAAGGGCGCAGCTCTTTCATTTGTTTTCGTCTCGTTCTGACTGTGCACATGAGGCAAGCACTCTTGGCTCACCCCGCGTGTTCTTTACATCACAGAACATCGAGTCGTAGGGTCGTGAATGTGGCCCCCAACGCCACACAGGCGCATGTTGAGCAGCTTGGTGTTTGATCCGAATGCTGGTGCACCGAAACAAAAGGGACATCGGGTTCGTCGACTTTAGGGATAAGAATAAGAAGCACCTCCTCAACTTCACCAGGATCAGGATCATTCAGTGCCCCAAATTGGGCAACTATCAATCTGAAATCTTTGGGCCACTATGGCCATTACACCAGACTCTCTATGTGAGTCACCTTCATGAGGCTTCAGGCCTCAAAAGGAAGTTCTAGACCTGAACAATCTGCCTCACACTCGCCTTCCCCCCACACTCGCGAACCCTGCAGGTGTGGTCGACCAGCTCTTGGAACTTCGCCTTCATCACGTCTCCGATCCATCGAACCATCACCCGCTTCACGTGTTGGTCCACGTGTTGAAAGCCCACGCGCTCCTGGCGCTGCCGGCGGACCAGAGCTGAAAGGTTTGCTGATTGGAGATTCAAGAGGATTCAAGATTCAATGCGATGGTCTGACAGGGAAAGCATGTCTGACACTTTTCTTCATAGATCTGCAGCGTGTTTGGATCAGACATCACGAAGCCCTGTCCATGAAATCCACCTAGCGACGCCCTTCCACCCAAAGAGAAATGGTCTGGAGGAGTCAGATAATAGATCACATAACCAGGACCCTCTAAGGGGTGCCCAATGGAAGCCTATAGGTAGTGTGGGGTAGTTGATTGGACACCCCTTGGAGGGTCCAGGAACATAATAAATCCTGGTCCAATCATGTCCAAAGCTCTAGATCCATGGCAGCTTCGATCGTCTTGGTTTGCTGGACGAAGACCGCAAAGAAACTGAACCAAGCTCTGGAGTGGAAAACGACCAACCAAAACTCTGCTTCAAGTCATGAGTTGTCTGAAAAGCAAACCCCCTTTCATTGCTTCTGTCAGGGAATACCCCCCAAAGGCGCTCAATATCCTCAAACAGATCCAAAGACATTACGATTCAGGCTGAGGAACCTTGGTTCGTCATCAGGGACAGTGCTTCGGGGAATTCTGTTCTGTTCTCGGAAAAAGAGAGGGAACCATGGAGAAGGGCAAATCAAAGGCAGCTAAGCACTTTTTGGCTTCGTATGATGGGCATCAAACACATTACAATAGAATACAATAGACTATCAATATGTAACAGATATATCAATACTAAAATATAGAGTGCTATCCAACATAGTGTCTTTCTCCGGAAGGAATGGGTAGAATCTCTCCTACTAGAGGGATCTCAATAAGTAAACACCTGAGCAAGTTTAGCTGATGCTCAATCTTTTGAGAAAAGCAAAAACCAGCCAATGTCCATTGTCCACCACTGCAAACACCAGTGAGGGAGGTCATCTCTCCCGGCATCGAGTTACGCCTCTCCATCCCCAATGCACCGGTCATGCTGCCCAGGTCCGTCCTGGATCAAGGCCTTGACCTGTACAGCTGGAAAGTAGACGAAGGAACACGTGCAGAAACCGACCATCCAGTCGACACCCCAAAAATATCCTCAAAGAAACCCATCAAACGCGGTTCCTGTGGGGTATTGAAGAAGGATGACAAAGGTTGGACCACCTGGTTTGAGACATAAACACCTGAAGTCTCCCTGCAGCCCATTCCAACGCACACAGGGAGGGAAGAAACACCCAATCAACCACCGGCCAGGCTGAATCCAGCTTGCGCAGTGCAAGCGCTTCCAAGATCGGTCTCTTCGCATGGAAGCAAAGAAAGCATCGAAGAGTAGGTGAGCAGTTCTCACGTTCGCCCTCCATCTTCCAACATCCAAATCCCCTTGAGAATCATCTCAGCACAGTCGCCCCCCTTCCTCATGGAACCAACCACATGATTGAACCATAAATAACATTAAAGCAACTATAGAACCAACACAAACGCTGGAACTTGAGAACCAAGCCTCAAAAATCCCAGCACCAAAGCAACTTTCCAACACCCCCATGGCCCGCCCTTGACACATAAACACCTTCTCCTCTTTGTTTCTGCATGGCAGGCCTTCACTTCATCTTCCCACTTCCACGCGGTGGCCAGCTGCGAGTTCACACAGCCCACGGCCTGCGAGACCTCGACGATGCCCTTCGCGCCCCGGAAGATCTGCTGCTCCAGCCGTCCGGCAGCGGCCGAGGGCATGACGAAGGTCACCTGCGCTGGTCGATTCGAGGGCTTGCGAGGAGGGCCGTTTGGATGTACCTGCAAGTCTGACTGACCTCGATTTTGGACCAGCAAGTACCCAAAGGCACCCCAGATGTAGTCTTTTCCTATCAAACACCAGGGGTCGAATGGATTGTAGGTATATCATGATCATACACTCCTGCCTGGATGAAGTAAAACAACACGGATCCTCACCTGAGACTTACCCTCTCTATTGGATTGGATTGAACTTCTGTGTTTTGCCAACAAAACGAAGCAAAGAACCAACTGCAAAACAAACCTAGAAGTTTTGCCCCGGGGCGATGCAATCCACATAACCAGGTTGGATTGGCTTTTTGGATTGGAGCTAGTTGATTGTTTTCAGCGTTGGAAGCGGGTGGCGACCTCCGAGTGATCCCAACCTGAAAGTCAGACTCCCATAACTTGAAGGTTTTCTTGCGTCCAAGTCGACAGTATCATGAATCATGCAGTTTCACTTACATGGTTGAAGGAATGACTCTGTTCTAGCTACTTGCAAACAATGTAGGAGTTTGACAGGGTGATTAACTTCATAGGTTTCCAGGCAAAACTTCCAGGTGTCCATTGGTTGGGCCATTTAAAGCACCTGGTGCGTGAAGCTATGTCATGCTATCTCATATTGCAGAACATGAGCCCGGATCGTGAACACTCTGACCAACAAAGACTGATCACTCAAGCTACGAAATGCTGGTCATCAAATTGTTCCCTTTCCAATTGTTAAAACACTGAACCAGTCGACGAGTCCACCAGTCTGTCGCGTTCGTCTCGCCTGAATCTCCAGGGTGGAGGCCACAAACTGCTCGTAGACGGTCCAAATGCGCTGCAAGTACACGGGCTGCTCCCAGGTATCCAGGATCGCCACCATCCTCACAGCTGTGTCAGGCTGACGAAACACATTGTCCATTGTGAACATGGTGGGTTGATTGGTGCTATTCTGCTGAAACCTCAGCTTGCCCTAGCATCGAAACATTGGGATCATGAGTCAACATCCCCTCCCAACAACCTTTATATATCGTGGAAATGAATGCCTGGAAGTAGATGTGTCAATACAAAGCCCTCCTGTGGAGTCAGAGAGTCCAATAACTAGTCCGTGTGAGTTGTCTGTTATTTCTGAGATACCAGTTGCAGAGTTGTATGGAACGTGCCTTTTCTACAACACGGCCGCGGCCGCGAGGTGACTTGACCCTCTACTTGGATGTGCGCTAAGCCCTGACACGGTCGCTCAATTACGATTTGAGCCACACACACAAACAAATCTCACGGTGTTGAATGTCATGGGCAATGGGCGTTCACAACAACATAGGAAGTAGTATTGTGGGTTACAGTAAACATGGTTGGGAAGCTTTCTTAGAAGATTGAACATATGTTTAAACCTAATGTGTAAGTGGCTTGTTACTGAAACCACTGGAAATCCCTCTCTCTGGGCCATCTTGAGGAGCGGCACGGGATGTCTCACTGAGACGCTGCGCCGGGCCACCGGCCGATGCGCTTGAGATGATTCTCAAAGACGTCCTCCAGATTCGCGCTGCCAGTGGTCGATTCCTCCACAATGATGCGAAACTGGTTGTTCACGAAGAAACACATGAAGAAGAACACACCGCCCTGACGCACCGAAGAGTGTTCTGGTTGGTTGCAATAAGAATCGATCAACCTACAAACATCATGATGCTCTGAACTGTGGAAGCGACATCTAAACAACCATGTTGCAAAATTACAGAAGAAGTTGCACGAATGACTCTATAGTTGCACAGCATTAAGATCCTCTATTCCGACCTTCTTTTTGTTAATGTTATTCCGCTATGAGCATTCAGAGTCAAAACAAATAACATTAACAACCGTCTGAAGCAACTCCGCGATGCTCCATCCAATGCGGGGCCATCAGCGGTCATCACTTGGAACATGTCCAGTGCGCTTCTAACCTGCAAGCCGATGTGGCCATTAAATGAAGGGTTGGCAGCTGGGACCAAGGGGCTTCTCCACCCGCAAAATTCCTGATGGGGCTTCACCACTCCAGATGAATGCAAATGCTCTCACTCATCCCATGCTTTAGGTCATGAATGCATTTCATCCACTGACCAACAAAAACCAAGGAATACGTCTCCACCTGCATCAAGGAGTACTGCCAGGTCCAGGACATAAAGTGCGTCTGCTCTCGGCGCTCCGCCGAAGGGATCCAATCCACCAGGGCGCAACCCATCCGACCGTCGCGGGGACAGCGCACGTCGTGGCCGATGGGGTCCGACGACAACCAAAAGGCCGTCTTCATGTCCTCGTGTGGCGGATCAGCGGAGCGACATGTTGTCGCGTGTTGCGGGGAACAGGGTTGAACCACGAAGAAGAGCCTGAGGAGCCATCGACATGCAACTGGACTGAAGCAGCAAAGCTGTGTGGTGGACAAGATCTGTTTCAACGTGTTTCATGTATAATATCATGCAACTATACCGACTATACCCGGAACGCCTTCCAGAGTGTGTGTTTGCCTCCTGCCCCGGGGAAGTGCGTCCCTTCCGACATAGTTTTTGGCGTCAAGGCTCCATGAAGCTTGGGTCCTCCTTGCCAGTTCGGCTGGTTGCCAGGTGATGGAAGCTCTCCGACAAGAGGTATCTCATACCTTGAAAACGATCATTCGGTGCAGCTTCGGGAAAATACGAGTGTTGCGGCATCCCAGTGAGCCCAAGCAAAACACGCCAATAGCAAATGCTTCGTTGGTTTAGGTGAAACTGGGCTGCGGGTACTGGTTGCTGAACGTTTAAATACTCGGGCAGCAACCTGGATACGCAACAGTCTAAATGTCTTCGCTTGGGATTCCTGCCGTTTCTTACCCCAGGACCTTGCTGCACGCCTTTGTCCAAGTAGAAGGAACGTGTTTGGGTCCATGGGCACCAGAGTTGAAGACTTGAAACGGATTAAATAGATATGGTTTACGTTATTTATAGCTTGACTGCAACTAAACCGGTTGTCCATGTAACATTCCCAGTCTTCATCAACAAACTTCAGCAACATCTGAGAGGCTGTTTCGCACATGGGTGCCTAAGAAGACCCAGTTCATCATCCAAACCCAAACAACTGCTATACACCTTGCCTCCGTTTGTCCACTTGCCCAGCGGCTCACACCGGCACGTTCGCTTTGCAATGCCCGCATGGCCGTCACGCGCTCAGCCACGTCGGCATCTTGGAGTCCAAGCGCTTCCAGCTGGGCGGAATACTTGTGGATGCTTTCAGAATCAATCCTGGCAGCTTGAAGAATCGAGAGAAGGTCAGAGTTTTATTCGGAAACTAAAAGTTGATCTTCGGAAACTTTACGGTTTTCTTCGGAAACTATGCGGCTTTCTTCGGAAACTTTACGGTGTTCTTCGGAAACTGTTAAATGGAAACTAATCTTCGGCAGCTCAAAAGTGATCTTCGGAAACTTTAAGGTTTTCTTCGGAAACTAGTCTTCGGAAACTCTACGGTGTTCTTCAGAAACTAATGTTCGGAAACACAGAGTCGAAGAGCAACATCAAAGCTGCACGAAAAGCTTTCTGCAGATCGCAAAACAAGCATGTATTATATACCGTAGCCGTCACAAGGTACATCAATATCCCACCCACCTACCCACCTACCCACCCACCCATCCCCCACCCACCCACCCATCCCCCACCCACCCAGCGCTCCTTCATGCAAATTGGTTGCAACATTGTAAAAGTTCTGAGGAATACTTTCTAAAGTTAGCTTCCTGAAGATCGCAAAATAGTTCCTGGAGATCCCAAAATAGTTTCTGAAGAATAGTTTCTGAAGAGTATAGTTGCGGAAGAGTACCAAATAGTTGCGGAAGAAAAGTTGCAGAAGAATGGAGTTGCCGAATAGGACTTTGTTCTCGAGAGAAAGTCAACCGAACGTTATACCTTTCTCTATCGGAGGTGTGCATTCTGGGATTGGTCCAAAACGACTTCTAAGATTTCCAAACGGACAAATGGATGTATAGTTTCACTGTGTCCAAACCCTTTTTGGAGAAGACTTTTCCAAACCACAAAGTTGATGATACAAAGAGTGGGAACGAATGGTACAAAGGACATCCAACAAAACTGAACTTCAATTGGTGTCTTCTCTCTGCTGACACAACCCCCAACAAGTACGAGTCAATTTGACATAATTTGACAAGATTTGATGACATTTGATAACAAGTTTTATTAGGTGAAGAAAAACACATGGTTCTGTGCCCATTGGTGATATGAACCATCATTGCATAACTGATGCCGAGAATCCACAGGTCTTGATACAGCTCACTCATGATGGTCTCCACCTTCTTCGCCGTCCGCGCGTGCGAGAAGGAAGCGACCACTTTTCCAGCCACTGCCAGGCCCACGATGCCAAAGGCCATCAAGGGCAAGTGCCACCAAACGCAACGATTCTGCATCAAGATCAGTGGGAAATTACATCGTTTGCATGCATCCTTGGAAGGGTATGGCAAGGTATGCATCCAAAGGTCCGGTGTGGCAGGGTATGGTGGCCATATATGGCTGCTTGGGCCTTCCAACAAGATTCTTCGGAAACTTTGCAAGTTGAACAACATGGGGTTTCCCGCTGCAAAAGCCAGGCATCCGATTTGCCGGTGGAATATTCAAACTCTGGACATTGTTCACAAACAGTTCGATTTCTCGATGAGATCCAACCAGCTGGGCATGATTCACAATCGCGCGCCCCAGCCACAGCGAACTGCCCAGCTGGGCAAGGTGTACAGCCTGTCTCAGGGTTGTCACTGAATTTCGATCTACAATAAATCTATATAAATCTCATGTCCAATGGAATCCGATGGATGTCTCCCCCTTGAACAGTGATCTTTTCCCCTTTTCCCTTACAGGTCACTTGGACCGGTCAAATGACGCTCCCTGGTGTCTGCGAACATGTCGGTTTCGACGATGACTTCCCGAAGTCGCTTTCCGTTGATGAGTCCTTTTGGGACTCTTCATCTGCTCTTGACTTTAATTAACGCAACAAAACATCAGAAAGTTGCACCTAGATTCCTATAGACTCCGATGTACAACTCGAAGCCGGCCTAGATTGTTTGCAGCAGGCGCCCGTCCGGCCCTACAGGGAGGTTGATCAAAGGACGTGGCGTTCAGGAACATGTGCAAACGATCCACCACAGACCAAATGTTCCAGAATCCCAGAAACTGGTCGAAGGCATATGCATCTTCAAACATCGAAATCATCAATCTCACAGACGCCGTATTCCATGAGCCAATCGGTTGATTGAAGGCCACCGCATGTTGGAACATGGAACTCATGTCTGTCACTGATGCCGTGTCCCAGGAGCCAATCGGCTGATTGAAGCTTGCAGCACCTTTGAACATTGAGTTCATGTCGGTCACCGCTGATGTATTCCATGACCCGATCGGTTGGTCAAACGCTTTGGTATAGCAGAACATACAACTCATATCCTGCACGGATGATGTGTCCCAGGAGCCAATCGATTGATTGAACTCATCTGCATTGCCAAACATAAAGCTCATCGTTTTGACCCTTGATGTATTCCACAAGTCAAGTGCTTGGTCAAACGTGGCAGCATTGTAGAACATATGATTCATGTCCTCTACAGCGGAAGTGTTCCAGGAGCGGAGAGGTTTGTTGAAGCTGCGAGCATCGGCAAACATGAAGCTCATGTCATTCACAGCAGAAGTGTTCCAGGAAACAATGTCCTCATCAAAGCTCAAGGACACGATTCCACGGATGGTCTTGGGATGACAAAAGCCCTGAAGCTGGAATTTAGATGAATTTAGATTAGAACAAAATACCGAAACACAAACCTCGTACCTCCACACCATGGTTTTCAAACCACACCACACCATGCCCCAGAAAAAAACGCGCATGCATGCATCCACGCGTTTTCAATCGTTCGTTGTCCTCATTGAAGGCTTTCAAGGACTGGAAGAGCCCGCTCATGTTGGTCACTTGAGACACATCCCAGCGAGCCATCGGCCCGTAGCGGGACAGCAGCTGTGACCTGGCCGGCGCGACGCGACGCGACGCGCCTCGGGCGACCGCGACCACGGTGGCATCGACGGAAAGGTACGGTGGCTCAGAAAACTAGACAATCCTTGTATCGTTGATAGGGGGAGTCAGGGGAGTAAAGCTATATTCTGCTGATCAACTGGTCATAAGACGTTGTGTCCTGGATCCTGAGGATTTGGGTCTGGAGAAAGATGTCTTCCTGCAAAAAGGCAACATGCCAAACTAAGGAACATGTAACATAGATGAAATCCAAGGGTGGTGTAGCGTCGCCTAGGCCTGATATTATAGAAACAATCCCACTTAAGAAACCTTTGTTCCTCTGTTGTTGGCTTTCTTTCAAGCCCGGTCGTGCATGTCTAAGTCAAGCTGCGGTTGACTTGGCCAGCGCCTTGTCTCTTAAACGACAAACTCACAATAGCTAGCTATATGTAAGCAGGTTGCTGTGGGTCAACTAATAGACCGCATTAGACCTCCACGGTGGGTGCACATCCCTCGTAGACGGTTCTCTTCAATCTTCCTATTGACCGACAAAGAACCTAGCGTGTCCAGGCGATCAGGTCGATCCAAGTTTGCTGTGGACATAGGTCAACGGACGGTCAGTCCCTAGTTTCTTGAGATGGGATTCTGTTGGCTTTGGGATTCTTAGAGAGCTGACGGGCACGGAAACCTCAAGCGATATTGACATTCATGCTATGTACACCATGAGTCATCGAATGTCGAATGTATAGACTAGGTGTATTGATACGGAATATCTAGACTACAATGGGCAAGCAATGGCAAGCACCTTCCTAGAGTCTTCATTGGGACACTAAACACCCCTTGCAATGATCCAAGATCGTGGCACTGATTACTTGCGGATGCCGCCTGCCCGCCCGCCTGCCCACCTGCCCCCCTGCCCACTGGCCTCCGTTCACCTCCAATCGCCCATCCATCGACGGCTGCTTTCAACTCCGCTGGGCTTTGGAAGCACTGCGAGTGCCGGGCGCTCTGGTGGCCTCTGACGCCGAGCACCACGCCGGCAAGCACGTGGTGCTCGGCTAAGGATCCCAGGAGCAAAGCAAGGAAGTGCCTCAGGCGAAAGTTGTATGACTGAACATGTATTATGTTATATGTATATATTATATTATACAGTCGTGCTCAGAGTGATCAAACTACAAAGGCTTGAATAGCTGGACATGATCCTACAAACTTAGACCTCCACACGGTGCAGTGAAGCTTCTTCATTCTACTGTTTGGTTGCTGGTGCGCAGGATTCTTTGTTGAAGGTGCCAATGAACCATGGGACTCCCAAACCGCCCAAAGTGTCCCTCGCCAGGACCGCGACGGTTTCGAGCAAAAGACGCCTCCCTGTGGTTTCAGGGCATTAGCGTTGTGGCATATCGATTTGCAGTTATCAGTTGACCTGCAAAAATGATCTGAAATTGGACTGCTCTTCTCCAATTGGCAGTATAGCGACACAAACCATCACCCACAAGTTGTCAGCGATCAAACCACCAAAGTGGCTCCGTGGGAGCTCTGTCAGCTTGCCACAGACTCCCTTCTTTGTCACTTCAATCAGAGTCATCAGTGGCTCCATTGAAGTGCTGTTCACCGCTCTTTTTTAGCGACCGCGCGGTCGCCGTACTGCAGCGCCCAATTTTCTGAGCTGAGCACCTGCACAGCTGCGGGTCCAGTCTCAGGATCAACTCAGTATAGGTCCAGTCCACTTCAAAAACCCAATTCAGGCGAGCTGAGACTGCAGAGTTTCTAGTTTCTGCGCAAAAAGGTTCTGTAATTGGATGTGTTTCATGTCCTGAACTAATTTCATCCTCCACTCCAAGCAGCCACCTTTACTCTCACACACACCACTGCGCCACAGACCGCTGACGCGCTGACGATGGCCGCACCTGGATGTCCGTCGACCCAGCTTGACTTGGAGGTGCCAACACCAACGGCCCAGTGCACCGCGGGAAGCGGGACACCTGGTGGAGAGAGCGATCTCGCGTGGCGTTTAGTTTTAGCAAAAGCAAAGTCAGTCTCTGGTCCGCATGGTCCGCTGGGAAAAAAAGCTCTATCGATATTTATCGGATTTGCTATGGTTCTTGCACTCAATCAGGTGTCTGCAAACAAACATTTCATTTCACCTGCTGCTTCCTTTCAGGATTTCCAACCACACCAAATCATCACATCACCACCACCTACGACAATGACCATCACGATGCCTCAGCCTCACTGACACTCCGCGGAGCAAACACCTTGGGAAAAATGTCCAACCAATCGATAGCTGAAGACGCACCAAACAAAGACCTAGGACCTACAGTGGTTGCAGAGTAGATGGCACAACCCCCAAATAGTGTATATCGAACAATCCGGAAAGAAATCTAGACTGTACTGCTGAGGACTATTCTGATGTCCAAGGACTTTGCTACAGGCAGCTACACGAGTACAGTCTATTTCATGCACCAGAAACGTCCTTCATCCAGTGAATGGCTTGCCAACGGCTGCGTCGACGGTGGAACGAACCCGTCAACAACTTGGTCGACGAAGGATTCGGGGGCAGGTCGGGCACCATCGCCCCATACTCCCGAAAAAGGATCTCGTTGTAGAGCCCAGTCCGATGATTTTTCCCACAACGGTGGCATGTACACATCAAATGCACACCCTTCTCATCTCCAGGGTTAAAAGCACCTGGATTGTCAAGAATGAAGGCCTCCAGGTGCTGTAAGAGACAACCAAGGGCAAACCTTCTGAGTCCGGGCCTCCACACACGTACAGCTGGGCCCTGGGCTTTTTGCTGCGAGCGCACACGGGCCTTGGTGGGACCAAAATGTTTGGCAAAGCGATACTTACTTCTGAGAAGTTGAACATCCATGGCACAATTCCAAATTTGCTTGACATGGCTAAACCGGGTTGGCCCCAAAACCCAAACCTGGGAAAACCCTTGTGCGTGTCATACATTGAGATTTATAAGGGCTGTCCTGATTTCATGTCATGCTGCTACCTGAGTGAAAAGAACCAGCCCAACTCCCTCTAAGCCTGCACATTGCAGGTGCTTCTTGGTCGACATCGCTATTCATTCCCACAAAACATGCACATATTGTTGGAAGAGCTTCAGAAAGAGAACGAACTCAACTTCTTCAGGAGCCGAGCCTCCGTTCAACCTCGTATTGCCCACTCGTATTTCCGCACCTCCAGGGGGCCGGAGCTCTTGGCCAAGTGCTGATACCTCGGTCACCGGGCCGGTGCGACATGGTTCCAGCGTTTGGAGCGTGAAAACCTGAGAGCTTTTAGATGAACTTAGATGGTTTGCTTCTGCACCGGTCTGTCCGGAAGAAAAAAACAAGTGGGACTCCAACAAGCAAAACATGTTATATAATTCCACTAACCGATCAATGAAACCTGGGCAACTCTTCACTCCAAGCAGAAGGATCATTGCCCAACCCTCACTCCACGTTCAGCCCAGCCGCACTCGTGAGAGTTCGCTGTCCACCTGTGATTTCGAACCAGAACGTGCGTCTGGGTCTGCTGGTATCAGGGTGTAACCTTTAGTTTGGGATTGATTGTGATATAGTCCTGGATCGTTTTGGATTGTTTCGAGAGTGAATATCCCAACACGTATCCGATGCCCGAAAGCTCAAACATTGTTACTTCCTGTCGTCCCAACACGTTGTTGTACATTTGCAACCCGTAAATGGTTGACAGTGTCCAGTGTTCCTCTCATATGTTCATATTGTTGACAAACAACAACAAAATTTCAGGAACATGCGCTGTGGACGTATTGCAAAAGCACTGCCCTTTCCGTGAGTTCCTCAAGGACACCATGAGTTCCACACAAATCTTCATCGTGCCTGTAGGCTCACTGGGAAGATCCGCTCATATAGCAAGGCTGCCTCGGAGCAGTGAAGATCGGCTGTGTACCATGAGGGCATGGAGTTGCCATTCTCTGAAGTGGGTTTATAGTATGGGAGGCGTGGGGCTCATACTCTACTTAAAGAAACTGTTTGTAATCGAACTGGCTGCGTCTGTGGCCGGTACCAACACAGTCTGCATTCTGCAGTCATGATGATTTCCAACCAAACACAGGCTAGTATCTGTTTGTCGGCGCCTGAATGCCTGGGGAAAAAGGGTAGCAATAAAACATGAATCCCAACAAGTATCACATCATTGGACAATGGCATAGTTAGTTTAGTTTGAGGACTTGCATCAATCTTTTTGAACAATACCGTAACCAATCTTTAAACAAACGCCTCAAGAGGTATTCGTCCAAATGCCCCATTGTTCCACCACACGTTGGGTTTCCCAGACGCCCAGTGGCCGCAGTGCCACTGCATAGGCGCCGAAGATCACGGTGGGACGGCCCAAAGCACAGGAGGCCTCAGATCCAAGGAAAACAAGGCAACTTATTGGGGCTCATCTGTGTGTCTTAGATCATGTGTCCCGTTTTTCGATGAAGGCCTTGGTTTTGCCCATCCATTTTGGCTCCATGAAAGTGCTGTCAAGGCCTGCTGTACTGAGGAAATCTAGTTCTCAGCTAGACACTATTGAGAACATGGTAGACCTCCTCATACCTCTTCCATCAGCCTCACATTGGAGGACGACAAAGCAGCCTCCAGTTCCTGATTGTGCTTGTCTCGCATTGCCATGGCCTCATCAATCCTGTTGGTGGCCGTTTGCTGCGCAGCTTGCACGAAGCTCTTGTATTGCCTTCGGTCCAACTCGAGGTGTTTGCACAAGATCTGGATCAAATCGGTGTTGCTGTGAAGCCTCTTCTCCTTGAACCCCACATAGTCACGCACAGTCCAGTTGCGATCCAGCATTTCAGCATGCAAATGAGGAAATTCCTGTTTGATTCTCGCGACACGGCGGTCCTTGTCGCCCTCCCGCAAGCCTTCATCCAGGCCATAGCGTCCATACACGTTTGCCACCTTCCGGTCTATCCTGAAATGCAGGGTTCGGAATATGGCAAAAATGCGCTTGCGAAATGCCGTAGGCTCCGGAGCGTCGACTGCAGCGCCCTCTGGCGCAGCTTGCTTCATGGCAATGGCTGCGTCGTGTACCAGTCCCCAGGAGAACAGGTCTGCTGCTCCTGTGTTTGGCAAACGCAACATGAAGCATTGCTTGCCTGCGCTGGCCGGCCGCTGTGGATGGTCCGGGTTCACAAAGAATAAAGAGTCCTTGGGTTAGCATGAAGCTGCTGAGAACAATGCAGCAACCACGATGTTATGAATTGCATCTGGTCTGGAACAACTAATGATGGTGGGTAGCAAAAGATTTCCTCAAAAACCTGCAGGCTCCAGAGAATGATTTGTTTGCTTTTGTTTCTAATCTGCACATTGTTCCTGAACATTCTCTCCATACTCTATACCGGGAATTGTTGTCGAATTGAAGGCACAGGTGGGTTGCTAGTGTCCACACTGTTGTGCCCCAAATCTAACAAGTGGGTCCAAACCACGTTGTTTCCAGTGCACAGTTTCCTCGTGCTAGTTGTGCAACTGAAGTGGTGCATGTTGCAAAACCTAAAGGAAAATAGTCCACAACGCCTTCAGCATGTTGCATCTGCCAAGCAAGCCCCTTAAAACATCGCAAAAACTTGCAACGGCCTCCACACCATTTGTTGGAAACGATCTTGTGAGTGTCCTGGCCCTGTGGAAAACACAATTATATAATGTCAAATGCACCAACATACACTTATCAAGTCACCCTGCAATGTTAAAAACAAAAAAACAATATCCCAGTATCTGTGCCGGAGTTGTTGACTTCCCGACAAAGTAGCGGAGCAGCTGCAACTGCTAAAGGGCTCTTCTTCGTGTGCCGAAGCGTTGGAGCAGCGTGGCCGAAAGGCTGCTGAAGCTCCTTCAGCAACTCATTGAGAACATCGCGCATGTAGGTCGTTTCCTCCGTCTCATTGTGGGCTCTGTCGTAGCCTTTGCGATTCTTCATGTACTCCTCCAGTTGCCAGTATGAGATTGGAACCAGAAAGGTTCTGCTCTCGGCCAGAGCACGAGGAGATTTTTGATGTTGCTTGAGGAACAAACCATGAGAATGCTAAGGGCATCCAAGGCACGAGCACACAGCAGTTTACAATGTCCTCCTTGGTCACGCCCTGTTCTCCACTCGTCTGAATTCTGGGCAGGATCTTGCTACCAAAAATCGCGACGACGTCTGGACAAGTGGTCCTGTAGCGCTCTCGGAGTGTTTCCTCGATCATCACCTTGAGATCGGGTGTGACTGAGTCCATTGATTGTAATAACCAATGGGATATGAGACCCTGATGCTTGGCAACATATTTTCGGGCGTCCCTGTTGCCCGTCTTGTTGAGTCGGTCGGTGATCCATTGGTCCAGGAAGAAGTGGTAGAAGGTCAAAGACCAATCAAAGATGCGCTCCGCCAGAAATTCCATCCTCTTCACGTACTCAGGGTGTTGAGTAAACCGGGTCTTTCCAAAGGACCGCAGCCAGCGGATGATGCTGTGGCTCCTTACAGCACGGATAATTGTTGGTGATTGCAAATCTGGAACAAGGTGGAACCCACCAGGCAAAGTGTCGTGAGGCAAACCACTATAGGCGCAAGGGGTTGAACAATACATGCGCAAACAACACTTAAGACATATCATCCAAGAAACAGCGAAGCAATGTCATCTTCCTTGAAGGGATTGTACAAGAAGTCGGGAGCGTTCTCACCTGCACGAAGCTTCCGAGATGCGGGAGCTGTGGATGTATTTCTGTGCAGAATACCTCTCATGGTCCCATCCTCCAATGCCTTCCAGTGTCTACCCACAGGGATCTTCCGAAGGAAAGCAATGCTTTGGCAAGTGAGTTGGAACAGTCGTGAGGTTTGAATAATATCTACTCATATGGACATCTACAGCGAGACAACAAAGTCACATAGTCCTACCGACGGCCTATCTCTTTCTGATTGATCAAAACTCCTTTCAAAAAGGCACTGTGTCAAACTAGTGTATGAATCACTGGCGAATCCAAGTCCATCTGAGCAGTATATAGTTACTTATATTTGTGTAACTCTGCCGGCAAAGTCTGCTGTATGATGCAGTGGGCGGCGATGCTCTGCAGGAGCCACTTCATGGAAAGTGACAAATAGGGTCATACGAGCTTCCAGTTGCAGGGTGCCACTTTGATATGCTGACGTGCTGAACTTGTTCACACAATTCTAGTTTAAACAAAGGGCATATGCACATCATGGAAAAGAGACACAAGCAACGTGGTTTTTCTCTTCTGGCGCATTGACACACCAAATCCACCAGTTTGCGCACGGTCACCTCAAGCGCCAATGGGGAAAACACTAGCCCCCCAAAAATGGCCAATAGAGTCTGACCTGCTTGGTACATGTTATCATGAACGGTGATGCCAATAAAATATGAATGTCAGGGGCAAACTCCCCGTTCACGAGAAGCACAGCAACATTGGCAAATCCTTGTCCTTCTACGTCATGGAAGCTCCGAATCCTGCAGAGTTCCTGCCCCAAGCCCTCTTTGCCCCTAACAGCCTGACTTCTCCAGTTGCTTCAGCATCTTGATCTTCGCATCCAGGCTTCGAAGAAGGCCTTCACATCTGTCATTCTCCGGGTTCTTCTCCTTCATCAACTTCTCAGTTTTCACAGCTTCCTTGCGGAGAAACTGCAGAAAACCAGCTTTCACCTGCGGGAGGCGAATCTGGTTTTCTCACGGAGTCAAGTGGTTACGCTCTGCGTATCTCAAAAGTTTCCCGTGGCCTAAGACTGTTTACTGAAGAAATCTGAAGAACCCTAAGCTGACATCAGCCAACAGGGGGTTGCATCAAGCCTCTTCCCTGATCTGAGTGAGGCGTTTTTCAGCTTCCTCCTTCCTCAGCTCAGCCAGCTCGGCCATCCTTCGTTGCTGTTCCTCATGTCGAGCTCGCTCCTCCCGCTGCTGACGATCCACCTGACATTCTGGAACACACCTGGGAGGGCAGGTCTGGCTGTTCGGATTGTACTTCAGCTTTGGATCATCACTCAAGCCCTCTCCACAACGCACACAGCGCACAAACCAGGCTTCGAACAGCGAGATGTCCCGGCCGGCAGGAACGTACCACTTCCGGAGGTTTCCATCCCAATACGCTCCTCGTTCTTTCGCCCTGTCCTTCTCTGCCATGGGGCAGCGCAAGTAGAAGGCTTCGTCGGAGCATCGAAAACACTCGCGCCAGCAGGGGCCACATCGCAAGGCAAATCGTTTCCAGGACGGCACATCATGGGATCCGCACTTCTCACAAATCCGTGCTTCATCTGTCACTGCGGCTCTCTTGGGCTCCGGAAACTGCGGCGCCTCTAAGGCGCGCTTGGGCGGTACCGCCTGGCCGGATTCTTTCGCAAGGCACCACTGCACGAATGCATAGAGCCGGCCATCAGGAGCCGGATTCTCTCCTGAGATGGGCGGTCGGATTTCGGATTGGCTGAGTCAGCTGGGGTTTTTGTGAACACCTTGGATACGGAAGCGTTGGGGACACAGCTGCGGAGGTGCAGTACGGGTCCCCACTTTTTTAAGACCCGCATGGATCATGCTGGGAGTGAAATGGAAGAGAAAGAATTTCAACGCATTGCTGACAGGGTTATCTAACTCTTCAACTTTCCACTCTACCATGTGGCATTCTACAATGTCACACAGCACCCGCACATTCCGCATGATATGATATGGCAAATGACTCGAGAAGGTTTCCTAATCCAAAGCGTTCAATTAAAGCATTCAAACACATTGAAGCCCTTCTGGGACCAAATGTGAACAACAAAGCAAGTGACCAGGTTGGTATTGTTTCGAATGCGAGCAAGTGGGGATGTACCATCCCACTGCTTCACAGCTGATTTTGGGTGATTTGGAATCCTTGGAACGATGCTTTTGTATTCACGGCGCTTTAGTATCCCAGTATTCTGATATGTCCCTAACATTCCGTTCGCCACTGGCGCGACCAATTGAACTATTGGCGGCTGGCAATTGAAACAACATGAATGCCAGGAATTCCAAAAGGGGTGATGACTAGATATTGAATAGAGAAGAGGTGTATCTCCAGGGGTGTCCATTCTCCACTACTATGGGTTCCCTTCTGACCCATCCCTTCTTGGAACGTTCTGGAACGTACCAAGCTTTTCATCAAGTCTCCTTTGGCCCACCTCACGTATCCCGGATCCTGCTGGCGAACCTCCTCGAAGCTCTTCCCTCGATGTTTGCCAAATGTGAAGTGGATGGGAGGACTCTCAGCCATTGCATCTCATGGCCAGGGGGTTTGCTGTTCAATCTATGCCTGTTTGGGTTTGGATATTTTGTTAATCAACTTCAATGGGCCAGTTGGTTGACTATTGTTGTTCATGTTTGAATATATGTGATTTCATGAAGTGTTCATATTCAA